GGGATGCGCATGTTGTCGACCACAAAACAACCGAGGAGATAACTCGATCCTCCTCTCAGTACAGAGAGCCAGATTGCAGTGGTTCTTTCTTACTGTGACCTATGTGGCATTCTCGCTCAGATGGGGTCCGAGCAGCCCCCCTCATTTGACTTGAAACCCGATCTAACGTGTGCAATCCAGGAGTGTCTGGCAGGTGTGGAGGGGCTGTTTAGCCTTGCTGAAAAGTTCGTTAGTCAACGCCGCCTGTCTTCTTGTCTTAATCACGTCACTGGTCCTAGGAGAGTGGAGTGCGACGGGCCATGGGCAAGTCTGCCTTCACCATAAGTTAATTCATGCGCAGGCAACCATCCGACGTCCTCTATGCTGTGGAGCAGTCTGTAGCTTTCATCCTTCGCGACGGTCGAACTGACGTATAGGCGTGCCGCAGTCACGCTGAGTGAGAGCTCAGACGGCCAAACATCCATATCAATCTCGTAAGCACGGATGACGGCAAACGGTGACAAAATATTATGGGGGTAATATGTTCACAGAAAAAAGTGTTAATTGTGAAAGCATTTAAAAACCTCGCATGCATAAATGACTTTGTGTGTACGGTGTGAAAGTCAGGGAAATTTGTGGGATCGATACCTTAAGTTGGCAGATGCCCTGATCTAAATCATCAGCAATCCGCACAGAGCTGGGATCAAGTCGGGGATAAGCGGGCAGGTGGTCCTGCGACGTGGTTGATCCGATGGCAGCGATTAGCCCAGCAACGGTCCTTCAGGCCTTTCCTGCATTCATGCTAATGTGCTCAATTTGCAAAATCTGGACGAATAAGTTGCAGGCTGCAACTTTTTAAACTTGCCAAGTTTATTTGACTAGATAACTCAATGAAGTTCACGAATGCAGACTTGCCACTCCACAACACCCCTTGACTCACGTATATGCGCGATGTCCATCCGTGGTCGGCTATCAAAAGCCGCATCATAAAAATGATCACTTCAACGGTTGGAGTCGCTGGACTCCAAACACCACAGACTGAAGTCTGGGCACAGTATGTGGATGATACCTTCGTCGCAATCGACCGGAATCAAATGCCGACATTCAAGGAAGGTCCAAGATATACAATTTACGATGGAGGAGGAAGATAACAAGCAGCTGACCTTCCTGGATGCTCTCGTATGCCGCAAAGATTGTGCTGAACTAAAGATCAAAGTGCTCAGGAAAGCGACAAATACGATGCAAGTACGGAACTTCAACAGAAACCAGCCAATCAGCCACAGACGCCGTTGTGTAAGGACGCTCTATCGGCGTGTCGAAACGCACTGCAGTGAGCCGGAAGACAGGGCTGCGAACTACAATACCTCCGACGGGTGTTCAAGGACAATGGCTACCCGTGCAACTTCCTCACCCAGTCCATGCCCAAAAGGTGCTTGTTTATGCTGCCCATGGAATATGAGCTGGTAATGGCAACTTTAGTATTGGCAACAACATTTCAATTACTGACCGATCGTCCATGCGTCCCGGCCCCCTGCAAAAGTTCTTATTCGAAACTGTAGCAAGCAATCATCCTCCATCCAAGCCAGTTGAGTGTACATTCGTGAAGAAGGAGACATGATCGATGTTGTTGACAATACTAAAGTTACTACTAAATAGCAGTCCAATTGTGTCAGTGGGTCCAGTCGCAATTTAGCAAATAATGCCAAGGTGATAAGCCGATCTGCAGATGGGACTGTCGGTTGCAGATATCACCGCGTTTAAACAGTTGTGCATTCAACTGTCTATAGCTGCAAGATCTGCACATATACGGAAGGTATTTTACGGAAGACGGGAAACACGTCAAACGGATAAGATGGGTGCGGATACAACGTGGGATAGCAAAGATGTTCAAACGTTTGGGTTTTACGTGAGGCAGGGTGAGTACGATATGCATGCGGCGGACAGTTTGGCAAGGAGACCAATGGCAGTTAAAGCTTATAGTTTCTAAGCAATAAATATGTGAATCCAAATCCACATTACTTTAACATTCTGCATATAATTAGCCTTAGGTAGGCGTATCATATTTTGGATGCAGTTTCGGCGCTAAACAGGACCTGCTGTATTCGGTTCGAATGTTGCTGCTAGGACAAACAATATAAGATACAATTAAGTGATTAGATTAGAGGCAGGATTGGCTTTGGTATTAAGGTTGGGAGAAGGATTAGGGTTATGCATAGTTGTGTCTGCCGTATATCGTCTTACCCAATCCTGTCTTTATTAACCAACAACCACACATAACGCATTTTTTCCTGCCGAGGAAATTAATGCGCGAACTTGAAGTAAATCTATCGAAACAGGCCCGTTCAGGCACGGTCAAAAAATTGGAATTGATTTTTGAGCTGAAATTCTTCAACTATCGCAGAAAACAGCCAAAAAGGCAGCCAGCAGACTAGAACTGTGCAATGGTTTACCGTACTAACAACACAGGTATTAGCTAACAAATAATGCCAAGGTGCTAAGACGATCTGCAGATGAGACTGTCGGTTGCAGCTTTTAAGCAGTTGCGCATTCAGCTCTCTATGACTGCAAGATCTGCGTATATACGGAAGACGGGAAACATATCAACCAGATACAACGGGTGCGGAAGCGACATGAAATAACAATGGTGGTCACATATGTAGATTTTACATGAAGAACGTGTGGAGGACAGCTTCGCAAGGCGACCAATGGGAATTAAAGCCCATATTTAGTAATCAGTTAATATCTGTATCTAAATCCTCGTTAATATAACATGCTACGTATAATTAGATCTAGGTAGGCATAACATATGTTGGATGCGGTTTCGGTGCCAAACAGGACCTGATTAACTCGGTTCAGGTTCCATTGCCGTCGGGAGTATCTTGTGCACTTGATAGGAGCGCACGCGTGGTGTGACGGGTGACAGTGTGGAGTGTGCTGTTTGTCAGTAAAACTCGAAGCAGATAGCGCCAGCGTTTTCGTTTCGAAAAGATTAATTAAGTAGATTTGTAAAACTAGTCGGCCTGCAACACAATTCTACAATATTTCAGATATCTCAGGATGCCGGCTTTCGAAGAAACTTCTTTTCGGCTGCATGCAAAAACTACACTCTC